TAATTAACATCAAAACTGCTGGCAGTCTTATCATAGCTACATCACCGGCATGCCAGAGTAACTGAAATGTCATTTTCTGCAGCAGGTCACACTGAAAAATCAGAATTTCTCACGCCAACCTGGATGAGGTTATGTGCTGTGGACATTTCCAGCTTCCCTTTAGAAGGGATAACTCAGTTCTCCATCACTCACAGCCTGGCATTGCACCGGACACGTATGAACAGGGTGCGTTAATCCCACCACTGCTCAGGGTCAGTGATGGTGTTGGGACAGGCGGCCGGGGCGCTGCCAGTGCTTCGCAGCAAGTTCATTCCTGAGGAAAAAAGGGAGCAAAGTACACACGTTGGTTCCTTTACGAAAACCCTGAGACCTCTGCCCTTAAACAAAGCTAGAGCAAATCAGCTCTCCCTGTGCACGGGCACGGCAGCAGGCATCCCGAAAATCCCTTCTTTCAGCGCCGCATCCTGCGCAGACGTCAAGGGAAAAGGGTGAAACCAGGAATCAACCAGCACAGCACCGACACGTACGAGATACATAATGTGCAGGAACGGGATATACAATGTGCAGGAACGAGACCTTACATGGATTGCCACGGGGCACGGCTGTAACTCCCTTTGCCTTACAAGCAAACGGGAAAAAAAGCAGAGGGGTGACCAGCAAAGGGGCTGGAGCACAGTGGGCACATCACTGCGGCGTCAAACGGATGAGGTTTCTGTTCCTGATGAGCTACGGGCTTTCTCTGTCAGAAGAGATCATATCCACCCGGATGAATATAGATAACTGGCCTCTAAACTGCCATAGAAATATAAAGCATTTGTTCAGTTTCTTTACACTCTGCAGTGATAATTGTTATATAAATCCCAAAAATGTTCCTGAGCATTCTCAGAATGTAAAGTTTCAAAGTTTTTCTGCTGATGATAACCAGCCTTATCTCAAGATTAAAAAAAGAAAAAGTGAGAGAGAGACCATTTTAATTAAGAAGTTAAAGAATTGAGTTTAAGTGACCAAGGGAGTGCATCTCTCATCACTCTGGGATAAGATACCCCGAGCACTATATTCAAACATGGCTCTGGGGAAAGATTTTTAGACTTTAGGTCCTTTGGAAATGGTAGATAGAGCTACAGAAACCATGGCTTTGCAAAAGCCACTGGTATGGCTTCAAAGAACTTGTCATCGGTTCAGAAAGACAGCATGCAGTAACCTCAGCAGTGCTCAAAGCAGCATCATGGCAGCTGATCCGAGCGATGGCTTTTGAAAGGAAGCAGGTGTGTGTTTAAGCTGCTCTTCTCCAGGAAATATGGACAGAAAATAGACAGAGAGAGATCTGAACAACTCCTGCCCCTTCCCTCTCCACGCCAGGCTGGGGAGAACAAACAGTCCGTGTTTTTCATCATGTCTGTTCCAATTTTGGGAAGGAGATTCGGGCAGGGAATCCCAGCCAGAAGCATCCCTCTGGCTTCTTCCATCCTGCATCTTCTGCACAGCACGTGGCACCTCAGCATCCTTCCCCCACCTCTACCACCTCCCCTCTCCAGGGCCCACCTTCTCGAGACAGTTTTCCTAAACTTCACGCCGAGCTCAGCAGAGTTCACGCGCATCCTAAGGCGTGCTCCGAGCACCGCAGGCACGCAGCCCACCGAGCAGCACCGTCCGTCCGCTGCCTGTGCCGAGCAGGCAGGCAGCAGGCAGGCCGCGCTGCTGACAGCTCTCCTTCGCACCACGGTACGCCTGCACAACCACCCAGTGACTTCTATTTTTCCAACTGCTGAAAGAGGAAGACTGTGTATTAAAGGCAGTGTATTAAAAAGGGAAGAATACTTTCCAATGAGAAATCAGCATCCTCACAAAACAAAGTCCTAAAGGCACAAACCGGTGAACTAATCGAAGCAGGTTACAAGAGTAATCAGAAGGGTTCCTGCGAGATTAAAACAAAGGGTTTCACTAGCAACCTAAGTTTCTGAGACAGCATTTAGAGAGCCTCAACCTGTACACTGAGAGCAAGAGAGAGGCGGCTCAAGTGGTCCGTGATACACCACGGTCCTTCAGATCAGACAGCACATGCCATATTTGCCTTATGTCTTTTTCCTGCAAGCTTATCTGCTAGCTTCCTAAATAACACTGTTCACACAGACACAGATCTATAAAGGGTTATAAATACACATATTTATATATATTCACACATTTTAGTCCCTGTAATAAAGGTCTACTCCTTTCTCTTCTGTGCTGCTGGAGCAGCTGCCAACACTGATGGCACTGGTGGCTGTTCTCAGAAGTAATTGTGTCTACACCAATCCTCCAGAGAAAGCAACAGAAAGCACATTACTACCGAAAGGAGAAGCGGTTGGCTCAGCTCAGTCCTGTAATTACTATATACAGAAAAGAAACCCCTTAGACACAAAGTCACATCTTCCCTCCAGCTCGCAAACCAGTTCCGCTCAACCCAGCTGGGCAACTCATCTTGGAGCCTACGCAGCTCAACCAGGGTAACTCGGATAAACATCAGCATCATCCAGACATTTACATTTGTAGGCAATAAACAACAAGCGGCATGCAACGGTTTTGTTAGAGAAGTCAAAACAATCGATGGCTTTAACATTAGAAGTGTGTCCTGATGTGGTAAAGTCAACATGCTAACAGAGGAGACGTACCTAACAGCAGGTTACTCCATTCCTGTGACCTAAGCAAACATGCGTCAGTTAGTTCAACACAAATTAAAAAAAAACAAAAACAAAAATCACATCTGAAGTCCACCAACACCACCAGATTCAGAAAAAATGATTAATCTATGTTTACAATAAATATTTCCTTGCAATGGGTTTTCTTCTATATCATGATGTATTTTCTTGGAAACAAGAATAGGGGTGCGAGAGAGAAGCTGTGATGCTTTGCAAAAGGCTTCCCCCACTGGGAAAATGAAAGGTTGCCCATCCCTGTCTCTAAGTTAACACTAACAGCAGCATTGATAATCAACACTTTATATTTAAATGCCCATCTTAGTTTCCTAGAAAAGGAGTGGTTATGGATTAGATTCAGCAGATTGCTGTAAAGCCTCTTTTGGATCAGTATCAAATGTTCTTCAGCTTGTGCACATCTTACATTTAAAACAAGCTTAAAAGCAAGCCTTCGGCAATTCCTACGTGAAGTCTACAGGGGCTGAAGAAGCAAACATCTCCTCCCACGTATTTACGCTCCCCGCCTGCCCTCTTACAGCAATCAGGAGCACGGTTCAGAGAATTTGCTTTTGCACACTAGGAAACTTCAGAACGGACCTGGCAATCCATGACCACTCCTGCCAGGTCCTGGATCACAGCTACACAACGACACACAGTGGGATTAACACGACGGTCACGGGGTGTCCCTCCCCGGGACAGCGAACTACGGAGACAGGGAAGACCAGGACAAGGAAGATGCAGCAGAGGCTACGGCCAAGAAATTCAGGAGGTTTGGTCTTGAGGTTTCAACATGACCCTGTTGCCACTCAGAGAAAGAGCAGCCACCAAATAGTCAGTGCTATGACCAGGAGAAAGGACATCATAAAGGGAATACGTGGAGAAGGAAAAACGCTAGAGTACAGCTGACACTTTTTGAGTGATTTCTGCTCTTCAGGAATTGGAATAGAAACCTTTGGAAGAGTTTCTTCACTTGCTTGTCGGGGAAAGGCTGTCTCAGTAGGTATCTCCTGCTTTTTTAGTTTGTCTTCATCCTGTACTAACAGAGGACGCTCCCGTGTCTGCTTTCGTGGTAGAAGATCAAGAAAGACAGAGAGAGATGAACAAAAATGACAGATGGGAAGTGCCCAAAATGATACTTGGAGGTGTGCAAAGCGTTAGGACAGCCTTCCTCTCAACGTAAAAATAAACTGCCCTGGAGAGCAGAGCCACTGGTGGCTTGGGTCGCACCAGCCTTGGAGCCACAAAGTCTAGTCCTCTCTGCAGAGCTCATGAACATCTGGATCATGATCACGTGTGCTTTGCGCCTGCCCTCCCAGAAAAGCGTATGCTCAAAACCTACTGAAGTGTTTTGGAATCGGAACAGTTGAGAAAAAAGTTTGAGGCATTAGAAATAGAAATGGCACAGTACAAAATGTGGTCTCTGACAGTTTCCTATTCTACAGTGCCCTTAAAAAATAGCGTTTGGTAAATACCATTGAACATCCAACTGCAGTGCAGATACAAAATGCTTTTTCAAAGTTCTCACGACAGTATCAAAATTTCAATTGTTTTGAAAATTCTACTGGAACAAGTGAAAAACTGTTACACCTTAGAAATCCCGAGTGTGGAACAGGCAGGGTGGCAGTAGGAGTGTTGCACTCTCCTTAAGTTTTGCTCTGCATTTTAGCACTTTTGTTTCTGGAGTCTAAAGAATGTAAAAAACCAGAATGAGCAAATCATCACGTAGGATCATGCAAGGGCTCTAGCACTTTCATTGAAGAAAGAAAAGATTGTGGGAAATGTTGCTGTTCAGTAACTCTCCATCCCTTTAGTTTGCCAAACCTGGTCAAACCCAAGCACACCTAGGAGAGGAAAAACTTGGCTCTGAGCTCTCTCAGTTGAGCTAGTCTCCTTTGATCAGTGCGGTATTTTGGGACTGGTTCTTTGCACACCCCTAAGTGATGAGTATTGGGGAGAAAGTAGCTGGGAGACTGGGCAGCAAAAGAAAATATAAAATGCAGGAGTAACATGATCATCAAAACAAAAAACAGAAAGAAAGACAACATAAAAAGAACAGGGTACAGTTAAACTTTCATAATTGCTTTTCTCTCCGAATACACGGTTATATCTTTCATGCAGCTTTTTCGAACCAGCCATGCACCAAAATAAGCAAAATTGAAAGCTGCAAAAGCTGCAGCAGTGCAAAAGTCATCTCGGTGTGAGTTATGAAACTACTTCATGTAGCCAAAAGAAAAAATGTTATCCAGCAGCTGCTGTTGAGTTTTTGCTTGGTGCCATTGCAATAGCAAAAGTCTGGTTCAGAAGCACATATCAGAACAGCAGCTTTACCTCAAGCCCACCAACCTGTCTCTCAGAAGATAGGACAGTGACTTTCTTGACCTGGACACACAAAGCGTGTTAAGGTTCAGTTGTCTTGAAATAAAACATATAGGAACAGCAGAAAAGCAGCCCCTGGCAGAATACCCTTTTGGACACTACAGCAGGGTGAAGATACCACCATGAACAGGAGAAACAGGATTGCTTTGCATCGTGATTTACCATCCTTAAACGTATGCAGGTGAAGGAAAACACCCTCCCCGGTAGGTGCCTCTCAAAGATGCATTTCTGGAAGTTCACAGCAGAACGTGCCCACCTTCACCTCAGAGCAAGACCACTTCAGAGAGGATCAGATTAAGAGGGAATTTCCAGAAATGCAAATCCAGGGCTGACACCAATCCTTGCATCGCTGTGGACCACTGCAGCCTTAGATGGGGAAAGCCCACATCATCCAGTTATTGTGAACAGCAGTCCCCCACGACCGCACATGCAGCCACCATGCAAGAAATTCTTTATAATAACCAAGAATATCATTCATGAACTGTAGCTGTGGAGCTTGAGAGCCCCTCCTCTATCCCACCCACACATCCACAAACCACGTGGCACCGTGGGCAGAGCTCTGCATCGCTCTGCTGCCCACGTTCCTGCAGAATTTACACTGAGACTCAGCAACCAAAGAGGAAGGGCCACCCATGTGTTAAACAAGGTCATTCCAAGGATAACGATCAACCCTCATTAGTTCATTTTGGGGGTTTTGTTTTTCTAGTGGGGAGAAAAAAGCCCTATAATTGTCATGGCTTTTCTCTACGCTTTGGGGAGCCTGTAGTAAACTTGGCTGTTGAAACCCCTTGTACCTGTTATGATAACCCTCCCTCCGCTGCAAGATTATTTCTTTTTAAAAGGTATCTCCCTCACAGTGGTTTGAAGATGAAATGCAAGCTTATGTGCAGCACTGTGGGCAGGAAGGGGAGAAGCTAGGCTTAAACCAGGAGTCTACGACTGCCGCCACTGCAGCCAGGACGCAATTTTTCAGTCGTAACGAAAAATCGCATTTATTATTTAAGAGACTGATTACCACGGGCTCTAACTACAGTTTTACTCACAAGCTTCAAACCTGAGCTAGGTAACACCAATATTAAACAGAGAAGCTGTCTGTTATCCAAGAAGAAACTAGTTGGCAGACAGATCTCTGCTGCTCCAACTTGGTTTCTTTGAAAAATTACCTTTTTAAGGACATTAGCAGGGAGGCTGTGAATGTGTATGGCTACTAACATACAGACACTGTTCCTGTAAGGAGAAAGATTTCCATCGCGTATGAACCGCCCTGCTGTAGCCACCTGAGGAGTCTTCTTGAAGCCTCCACAGCAGATCAGCACCTGCAGATCCTAATGCAAGACTAAACCCAATGACATACTGGATTAACTAGAGAATAAAGTGACTTTTGAAAAGTGACACCATCCTAGTGCTTCTCCACTGGGTTACCCACGATATTATCTCTGAAGTAATTCCCTTCAATTTAGGTGTTTGGGTTTTTTTTCCACATTTTGGGGAAACCTATCCCCTGGCAGGAGGAATAAGCCAGTCCCCAAAACAGCCATGTGAAGTATACTCTAGCATCACAGATGAAAGCAACGCTAGGAAAAGTAGCATCAAAACCAGGTGAAGAATTCCTACATTCTTTTCTACCAAAAAAAAAAAAAGAAAAAAAAAATCACGTTTTTATGATACTATGACTAAAGCATCAATTCTCTCAGAGACCATTATACATGTTAAAAGTCAGTATTAACTATTCAAATTCCATATAACCAAACACTAAGGGGAGCTGAGGCTCAATCCTAGGTTGCAAAGCTGTCCCTCGGAAGTTGCACACTACTGTGCAGTGCACTAACACCCGCACGCCGCCGAGGTACTCACTCCATCCGCTCCCGTGGGAATCTGCCCGTTGACGTTGAGGGTTCGGAAAGGGGAGTGAGTGGACAAGCGTTTGTCCCATTCACTCGGCCGAGGCTCCGGGACGGACTCCATAAAGTTCTTCTTCAACTCACTGATGTTGGCGTGATGCTTCTTTATTTCTTCTTGGGTCTTATCTAGATCCTATTAGTAAAAGGACAGGGTAAATGAAGTGACACGGAGATGACACCTGTGATTGCCTACGCTGCTGCATAGCAAAGCTGCGCTCAGCAGAGTTGTTGCCGACTTCCATCAATTGTGCTCACACTGCAAACACACAAAGGGAACGTCCTCTCTCCTCTTTCCTCTTGTATTAATTGGGATAAACTGCAATCGGCACGGAGCAGGGTCTCCTCCAGGAGCGGGACGTGCCATCGGTTCATCTCAAGCTACACCAGAAGGGATGACAGCTGAGGTGTAATCTCACAGGTTTTCCCCATATGGGATTTTTTTTAAATTGCAATAATACGTTTGTTTGGGTTATTTAATTTAATGCCTTTAAATCGGGTGGGTTTGCTTTCTTTTCCCTCTGCTAGCCTGAATATTCATGGGTATAAATGCAGTTAATGTTTAAGAAAATATTTTCCCAATTTTATTCATTCTCTTTATACCTATTTCTCTTTCATCCTACCAGGAATTATCTTTGGTCCCAGAATACCCCCATTACCTTTTTTCCCCCCCTCTCATCTCATCCCTCCAGGAGCTACCACAGGAGGTTTTAGACTCCTGAAATGAAGATGAGATGACAGGCCTTTAAAAATCAAACTGAGAATTTACTTTACGCCGGATCAATCAGGAAATTCCTGCTAAAATACTTCATCTGCAAAAAGCCAGATTTCTACTCTGTGATGCCAGTTTACAGCATAAATGCACAGACTTCAAGGCAAGTCAGCTCTCTTCAACTTGTTTAAAAATAGCTTTTCCTTGCAAGCAAACCAGAGTTTGTTGAAAACAAAGCTTTTGCATAAAATAGGCATAAGCCAAACAACAACTTTTCTGGACAGTGCCAAAAAGCAGCAAGCTTCACCCGTTAGAAAGGGGGAAATTAAGGTCAGTAAAAGCATCACTGTGAAATTTCACTGTTTTTGTGCTTTTAGTTGGTACTCAGCCCATCGATTTTAGAAGATGGGAGAGCAAATACATCCCTAAAGGAGGGTTCCCCCCCGAATGTCTGTGTCCCTGCGGCTTACCCAGGACACGCCAACCCTCCCTCCGCAGGGCCAGAGCCCCAAATGCCTCACTAACAACATTTGCTCCTTTTGGCACAGTTCTGGGGAAAAAACAGGTTTGGCATCTGTCCTGGATGAAAGCACAAGGCAAGTGCCTGCTAGTTAGGCGAAAAAAAAAAAAAAAAAAGCACAAATAAGTCTGCTGAGGACTCCAGGGTAAAGTCCTGCCCCGGTCCAGGAGCCCTACAGCTGCTCCTGGTTTAGAGAAGAGAGAAAGACCACCTTGGCTATCCACCACTGCACAAGAGCTGCTCCTGGGAGGGTTTGCAGGGAAGCTAAAGCCACGAGGAGCTACGTGGAGCCACAACAGGTCTTGAAAGCATCTGGAGGAACAAGCTCGCTAAGCGTTAACGCTTTTCCTCCTGTTTTGCCCTTTCTGTAAGAACACGGAGCGCGGGTTATCGAGCACGGAGTGATAAAAGGCTTTCAATAAAATCAAGCGGCAGCTTCAGGAGTATGAGGTCTGCTGGAAAAACATCCGATCTGCCAAATGCATGGATTAAAAAAAAAAAAAAGGAATAAAGGGGGTGAGCTGCTGGGGTCAGCCCTTTTCTAGGGGAGGGCTGAAGCACCTGCAACAGAACTGGTGGGGAGGGCAGCGGAGAGGGAACGGAGTGGAGAAGGGGCTGGGTGCCAGAGCCAAGTACTGCACTAACAGGAAAAAAGGGTTTAGAAGCAATGAAAAAAGCTCTGTTTGGGGTTGGGGAGACGGAGATGCTCGAGTTGGGCGAAAGAAAGCGACAGGCACAGTCTTCGCAGTGCTCCAGCGGCGGCCGAACCCTGCCCGTCGTGCCGCAGACCCTTCACTCATGGCCGAAAGCTTAAGTTGTAGCAGTCAAAAAAAAAAAAAAAAAACCAACCAAAAAAACCCCACCAACACACCCAAAAGCTGCAAAACTTTTAAAATTGAGATTAGGAGAAGGCAGTTAGTACACTTCACTTGCAAGAGATACCAACAGGGAAACCCTACCAGCTGCTGGTGCTGCAATTTTGAGTAGAAACACATAACACAGAGTATCAGAAGCCACAAAACGTGTTCCGTAACACAGTGTATTAAAAAAAAAATATATATGATTGGCATGGTCTGTTCTGAGACTGTGCTTGGGCGAAACCAAGTGTAAAGGGCTCCCAAAGCTGAAGGGAACAGCTGTATGTGGAGGGACGAAACGGCTTCTCGCCTGCTCACAAGCCACCCATGGCCATCGAGCCCCCGCATCAGGCCCAAGGGGACCTGGCGCCAACGCAGGATGGGGCCGAGGGGAGCATTAAAAATGCTGCAAGGCAAGCGAGCGGTGGGAGAAGGATTGCAACGTTGCAAGCGTTGCTGCAACACCGGCAGCAACGTCCGAAAGGAGGACTCGCTCCTGTCTGAAGCAACGTGGACATCGCGGTGGCCTGAACGCCATGGAGGTGACAACTTCACCTGCAGCTTATCCTGAATTTTGTATTTTCATAGACCGTCTTTTCCCCCAGGAAAATAATTTATTTCAAGCAAGGAGAAACTTGTAAATGAGCCCCCTGCCACGATTCATGCCACTGTGAGCACCCAGCGGGTCCAAGAGCAGACCAGAGCACACAGCTCCGCCAATCATACATTTTGGGTAAGTACGAGAGAATGAAAGTCAGAAGAGGTAGAAGGAAGAATGCCTGCACATTGTCATGTTTACTATCACCATGCAAAAGCGTATTTAAAAAACAAAACAAAAAAAAGGTCTTTCATGCAACGGCATGCAAAAACAAAGGCAGCGGCAGCAGAGGAAGAAAAAAGTTCAGCGCAGATGCAGAAGGTCTAGGCAAACGCAACTGAAAAAAGCTTCAAGTTCATACAAACCTCCAACATTAAATTGCTATGCCTGATATAAATGTTTTCACCATCTAGCCTCTTTGATCTTTTCTGTGAAAATGAAAGAAAAGGGGGAAACAAAACAAAACAAAAAAGCACAAAAAATTAAAATGTTGTTCTTGCGGGATTGACAAATTGGCAAATTAAAAAAGTTAACTCAACGTTGGGAGCGCAGCGCTGTGCCAGTGTGGGGTGGGGACCCAGCTGCAGGGACGCCGGCGTGGGGCCACCACCAGGAAATGGGGGTTCTTGCTCATGGAGAATGGGGAAATGCAATGAGTCCTTTAAAGAGACAGCTCCCAGGGGTTCACCGGCTTTTGCCTTGATTTGTATCAAGAGACAGTTTACCGGTTTTCTGTGGAAGCCTTGCACGAAGTCACGACTTCATATTCCTGACCGCGATGCATGCCCACCCCAGTGTACCAGGCTGTACTGCCTGGTGTAACTTCTACAAGGTCTCAGTGTGCACATGAACTATGTCTTAAACACCTTTCCCATCTCAGATATGTCCCCTATTACTTAATCAATACCAAAAAAAGCATTATACTTGGGTTTTTTTGCATTTCCTGGAATGCACACTATACAGTTTTCTTTGGTTTCTAACTAAATTTGTTACAGAGAGGATAAATTTTATAAATCAAACCCGGTGTGTTTCTCTCAAACATTCAACATGCATAATTTTAGCGATCAGACTGTCTATGGGACAAAACGCTATTCATTTTAAAATCAAATATTTGATAGTTGCAGTTTAAAAAAACAAAAACCCAACCCAAAGCACATGAAGAAATTGGAGCACTGTCTTTTTAAACAGGTTACAGATGCATGAATGATATGGCAAATTTGTTTGGTGAAAGTGTAAAATGGCTAACCTTCCTCATTCTTATCAGTTCTTCCTCTTTTTCTGCAGGCTGCTGCTGTTGGGCAGTGATAAAAAAAAAAAAAGTTGTTGGTTCATTTAACTATGTTGAACCTCACTGTATAACCTTAAAAAAAAAAATGTGAGCAACCTAACTGAATTATTAGCACAAACCTGGGGCTGGTCACCATTCGTGGTGGGTACTGTGACCTCAATGTGCGTTTTCCTCACCTACATTTAAGAAATAAATTGGTAAAAACATTCCTTGTTAGTAGACTTGTTTCAAGAGACCGTTTAGTTTCAAAACACAGCTGCATAAAGTTGGTTTTGAAATGCTGGGTGAACATGCAAAAACCAACATGCAGTCCTCCGGAAAGAGTTAATGACACCGCAGCTCTCCGACAGTCTGTTAGTTAACAGCACGTTTACAATAATTCCTTCGGCTTGAGAATTATTTGCATTTGAAACCAGGGCTCTCTGGTGCTTCTGAAGAAGGGCTTCCCACCTGCATTAGCTTTGCCAGGCAACGTTTTCAAATTTCATTCCAGCTGGATCTCCCAGTGAAATCCGTACCAAAAGCAACATGCTCAAATTAACACAGACCTTCTCAAAAGCAGAAAATCATTTGTTACGCACAGGTATTATGTTCACAGAGTCAGTAAGAAGAGAGCTATCTTCAAAATCAAGCCTAACATCACAAATTAAGTTCTTTACTGTCTGTAAGTAGAGAGCCAAAATTGTCTTAACACTTTGAGGAAAGTATTTTAGGGAAACTGGATTGCCAAATACTCTGAAGGCGAAAGCATCGGTGGGTGTTAAAAGAAGTGATGCAGCTACATTTGAGAAACAGGGTAAATTTGGCACGTTCAAATCCACAATTTCCTCCCACATCTACATTTAAAGAAAAAAAAAAAAAATCTAGTGTTTAAGCACTTAGGAAAAGACCCTGTAGTAAAGTGAGATGGGATGAATAAAATTTACTTTTTCTCAGTTTAATGCTAGGGAGGGTGAGCAGCCGTGCAGGAACAGCATCACAGGAACTCCGTGCCACGACGCACACTCCGAAGTGCCATCCTGAAGATCTCTTCAGCATTTTCATTTAAAAATTACAGGTCTCACAGCAACTGTCCTTTCTTCACCTCCATCTCCCAACCTTAATTAACAGTGATCTCCCCTGGGGTATGTCATACAAGACCCACTGCGTGATACATTATAGCAAAAATGTGGTTCCAGTAATGCTGAGAAGAGCTAAATATTCAGAGTAATGTGAAAATTGTATCTCAAGGCATACACCTCTGCTGCAACACTGGAAGGTTTCAGTCAATAAGATTTGCAGACTATTAAGGACACTGTAATATGAACAATAATTTTTCACATTATTTTCACTTATGGGAACAATACACGCAGATCAACATCAGCAGAGGTCTCAGACACTTGTAAAAAGCTCAAATAATGTTTAAAAAAAATTTCATTTAAACAATAAACCCCCCCCATGGTCTCAACAGTGCCATTCACAACTGAAGTTTTAGTCCAGTTTGCAGAAACATATTAACAGCTCTCCCAGAGAAAGCCTATCAATGTAAAAAACATTTGCATTCAGACGCTGGGCTGCGGACCAGATCTGTATCACTGATTTCACTGGAATTGCTCCTGCTGTCATACCAGGAATCAGCAGAGACAGCTTAGCAATGGGTGAGCTCTAAATTCAATTACCATGAAGTTCTGTGCAATTCCTGCCAGCTTTTTTAACCACGTATCAGTAAGCTGCATTTAGTTTGACTGCAACCACCAAAACCCAGCCGCCCTGGACCTCCTCCCTCCCTCGCACTTGGAAGGTCAGGGCTGGGATTTCCCTGGGACCAGACCCCCGTACCTCACTCCCACCCGAAGCCCGGGCGAGGAATAAACCCCTTGCTGCCCGGGAGGGGAAGGGGCACACAGCCGCTGCTCTGGGACGGCTTCTAGAGCCGGTGCTCCAGCCCGGCACAAGCGCAGCCTCTTCCAGAGAGACTCTGGTCTGCCATACCTTTGACGCATCGGCTGGCTCCGGCTTGGCTTTCTCCGGTGGGATTTCTTCACGCCTCATGTCGGGTTTCACTGCTTCCTTTTCAACTTTAGAGGCAGCGACCACGTCCTTCGCGTCGGGCTTAGCTGGGGCTGGTTCTGCAGCGTGGCTCTGAGCGATGGCCGGGGCAGAGGTGGGACGGGGACTCCTCTCGGGGGTTATCACGGCCACTGCTGAGGATGGGGGAGAGACAGACAGGGACAAGGTTCAGAGCGGGCAATGTTTCTAAAGCACCGGGCAAAGTCTTTCCAAATTACAGTGCTGCCGTTTAAAAAGAAAGGGAGGAGGAAAAAAGGGGAAAAGAAATAAAGATGTTGAGCAAAGCAGCTTGTGCATTTAGTACGTGAAAGTTGTGATTATTTTCCTTATGGTTTAAATAAAATAAAACCCCACAACAGATGGTTTACAAAAAGCAAGCTTGCACTCTGCAGAGAAGCCACACCAGAAAGGCGGATCTATTTTTGACACCGTGCCATCGATTTCTGGGTCCTTCACACACAACAGACACAGAAGTCCATCCCAATGCAGCCATTAAAATAGAAACACTTATAGCTGTGGTGAGTTCTTGACTCACTGGCATCTCCTCAACCAGAAATGGATGGTTTCTGGAAGGGCAACACAGGCTTTCCCCCATCTCCCCATTCTTTTCAGCAATTCAGACAAAAAATAATCAACAAGCGTTGCTCTATAAAACTTTACAGCAGCTTCCAGGTGGGTTTCAAAGCAGGCTGAGGCTGCGTGTCTGAGATGGGTATCTCCTGCTGCAGCCCAAGGCACCGCTGCGAGAAGATACCCAGCATCTCCAGATCAGTGACAGCGCAGAAATGAATAGCATGCTGCCAAAAAAATCATCTTTCCAGAGGATGACAGCCTTAAATACAAGCACTAGGTACACACAAAATCAACTGCCTACTCTTTCCTTCGATTCCTGATTTCCCAGACAGTTCCCGATCCCTGAAAAGCCTGACACCGCCAAAATATTCCAGCCAATACTGTGCGACAAAGCAAGCCCCAATTAATTCACTGCGTGTACCTATAGACGCAATAAGCTATTTAGTTCTCCCAATGTTGGTTTTTATGGCCATTCCACTAAAAATATACCTAGTCACCTGAAAGAATTCCTTTGACGTGGTCTCATATTCCTAAAGTCACAATTTAGGCAGCAAGGGTCACACTGTGTAACTTACCCCAGCCAACGCTAGGTTACTAGTGTCCATCCAGCTAGTCAGACACTAGAAAATTTGGCGTTAAAGAAGAAATCGTAATTTTAAGTAACTCCTTAGTAAGAATTCCTGTTTCACTGAAAAGATAACTGCATCTCCTCTGTGTGTATAAAACATGTACAGAATAAAGTATCCATGTGGCCAAAAACATACAAGGTAGAGGGGCAAAAAAGAACTTGATTTTTCAGAGACTGAAATTACACTTTTAAGACAAACTCCTAGACATACCGTCTTGCTGAAAATCCACGCTAAGACCCCAAACCACCACCGCCATCTGTGTTATCTCCCCCCCTCTTCGGCATGGCAGTTCATTTCTGTGAGCCAGACATTGTGTTATCCTTTTGGAAGGACAACCAGTGCCGTGTCCCGGTGTTATTTATGCCACAGAAGCGGTGACAGCCGCCAGGGAGGTTGTACAGAGGGACGGTGAGACGGCAGGAACAGTCGGGGTTAGGAGGATGCCGGGTGTGCAAAGCCCTCGTGGTGGTACCTGGCTCCTGTGGGACCGGCTCTAGTTCTCTCATCACCACCATTTTTTCTTCCTCCTCCTCTTCAATTGGGCTTATCTCAACATTGCCAAGAGCATGTGTGGCTAAAAAAGTTATGCAGGTGTTAAAACGCCACCTCGAAGATCAAGTCGCAAAGCAAATACTGCCATCAGTAAATCCACAGGGCCACCTCTCTTTAGGGACTCCTGCTTCTCTCACAGCGCTTCAGAGCATCAAGACATGTAGGAAAAATAATAAAAGATCCTACGCTTTTCCTTTGATATTCAGCAACGAGTTCTGTGCTGTCCAGAACCACATTATTTTAATTATATTTTCTTGATTTACTAGCTTTAGCTATTTTGACACATGACGATTTAAACACAGTAAAGAGCACCGCTCCAAAATATGAGATTTAAAATACCAATCATCATCACCCCAGCCAAGAAAACAGTCCCTGCCGGGAACAAAAGTGTCAAGAGGAGGAAAAAGTGCAGGAGGTGAATGAGGAGAAGGGGCAGCTGCAGCAGGAGACCCCTGGAGGTGCTCGGGTCTGACACTGGCCGCTGTCTGCTCCGCTGCAGCCCATCCCATGGGATAGCCTCGAATCTAAGCGCAGGGGCTGGTTTAGTGTTTTTCATAACATTCAAGAAAACAGGTGAAGTTCCCAGTTACCTCCCTCCACGGCTTCAATCTCCTCTTCCTGCAATGACTAACCAACTCTGCTTTTAATTAAGATTAGGGTGTATCTGTCTGCAGCAGTGAAGTTGCTCTGAAAAAAAAACCCAACTAGGGAAGAAGCAGGCTCCCTAGCAAAGAAAAAAAAGCAGAGTGTAGGTGACCTCCAGCAGTCCCATGGCACACAACCTGATTTTCAGGCACCACACATTCCTACAGCTCAGAGGAACGAACCTTCCAAGAAGGGACAGGAACAGAGGAGCGTTACAAGGCCATCGCACACTCATTCCAACACGCAGGCACACAGCCAAGCCGCGGCACGGCACCTCCTCGTCTCAATCAGAGGCACAACCCGATAAAGCAGCGCTCGTGTATTACAGCACACTTGCAAAGCCGAGTGTGATTTTAATGGCAATGAACACCACTGCAAACAACGCAACCTCCGTCTTACAGCACTGCATCACTTCAACCCAGCAGGTCATAGCACGGGCGGCCGCAGGAGCCACACCGATGGCAAACGCCGCTGCGGCTGTACCTGACCATGTCTGCAACGGCTCCGGTAGCTTTGGCTCAGCAACAGGAACCTTAACCACCTCTACCTGCTCCTCCTCCTCTTCCTCCTCTGCAATGGGTTTCATTTCAAAAGTTTCAAGAGCGTGTTTGGCTAGAAAGAGGTTTGCATGCGTTAACAGAGCCGTTGGAGAATCGCACGGACACACCACGGTCGCCACAGCAGAGGAAAGAATGAGAGGAGATCCCTCTCCAAGGCAGCGGCGGAGAACAGCAAGGAGGTTTTTAAACCAGGCAGCTCAATAGTAATTTTTCACCACGCAATTGCATATCAGTCTTTCTAGTGCTGCCAGGCCCAACAGTGTATTGGACGAGAGGGGAAAAAAACCAACACAAATAAGCTTTGCAGGCTTCTTGCCCAGGCAGAGATACGTGGGGACACTCGAACGGCTCGCAAGTGCGGTACTAGGACGGGCTCTGCCTGCAAAGTCTGGGGAGATGCAGGTGCTGGCTGGTAAAATCCCAGAAAAACGCACCCAGGTTCCTCTAGATAAAAACCTGTATAAAAACTAACAGCTTTAATTAAATGTACTTGAGCGATCAACTTCAAATCTAAAAACTAAGAACATACAGCCATCTATCCTGGTGTCTTAAATGTTAATTCTCCACCTCCTGTTTTTACAGCATCAGGCTTCCCCTGCCAGGCGATGCTGACTAGTGAGAATTCAAGGCAAGACAGTGGTGGGGAGACAGTCTGCCACATTACTTTATGAAAGCTTGGTCTAGATTTCCTACCAGAAAAACAGCGATGTCAAAAGCGTGCTGTAAAAAAAAAAAAAAAAAAAATCAGGGTGGAAGCAGGCAAGTGGAGCAGTACACAATGCATTTGCATATGAATTATCTCCAGCCCTAACGCACCGCAGGCATTCGCTATTGAAGTGATGAAGACTGCAAATATTTGACAGCACCACTGCTGTGATATGCTTATTAGTATCAAATATATTGTTGTACCTACACACCTCTTAAGGGCATTAATATTTATTAATAGTACTTATCTAAGAGAAATATAAGCCCCATGTAGCAAAATGGGTGGCACTTCTCAAACCACCAAAAAAACCTAGAATAGGCTTAAAAAATGGCAAGCAGGTCCCGGGATGAAGAATTCCAGAAGCTTTATGAGAAGTTTCAAGATCAAACTTTAAAGTTTTCTAATCCACATTTAGAAAACCACCCAAATTTAATAAGGAGACAGTTCCCAAGTTCCAGCACATCCTGAACTTTTTCCCCACCTCCCCACAAGAATTACCGCCTGACAAGGTGCAAGATGGAAATTTAACGCATCTCCCAGAGCCGGGGCTCTGCCGGGCTGTCTGTCCTCTGACTGTGAAACTCTTCTTGCAAAGAAAGGAAAAAGAAAGCCGCCAGATTTGGTGAAACTTTAGGTTGTCAGGAACAAGCATGTAAAGGATAGGAAAGGCGCTGCAGAAGAGTTGTAGCCACCACCACAGCTATACCTGGCTTCTCTCGGATCTGATCCGCGGGTTTTGGTTCGGGAACCTCAACCACCACCACCTCCTGCTTCTCTTCCTTTACGGCTCTGAACTCAACTTTCTGAGTCACACGTTTAGCTGAAGAAACGGGGCACATGTTAACGACTGCCCACACAGCAGATGGAAAAAGGCTGCAGACTTCAACGGGGACAGAGGTGTTACATTCACAGGCTGCTCTTTTCCAAGCCCTGACATTTGGGTGCGGGATTGCAACGGGGATTTCTCTACTCATCTAGGATCATAATGGTCTACATGGCATGGCCAAGGGGCAACCAACCTCGCTGATCCCCTCGCCTCCGTGCACCGTGCCTGGGTAACCTCGCACACCTGGACTGCCGGCAAGCAGGCATTTTGCTTTGCTGTGGTACAGAGCTCAAACCAAGCAGCCCTTTCCTTCCCGGCTCTGAGGCATGAAGCCCAGGCTCGGGGTGTCGCTGAGCCCTGTAAACCCATGCCAGGAGCAGGGGCAGCCTGGCTGCTGCTGGCCATGGGGCACTGGGGCAGCCCTTCTCCCTCCCAGGTTGCAGCACGACCTCAGGGCTCAAAGCAACGCTGTTCTTGCTCCATCAGGTGCCCTCGGTGCAAAGGGACGCTCCCCTCGGCCCTGGATCCTAATTTTACAAGCACCCCATGATTCAGGTCAAGGAGAGCAACTTAGGGATTCCCCATTCCATGCCGCACCTCCTCTAGCCTGCTGCTGTCCAGCTCTTTTAAAAATGTCAGGGATGAGCCCACCTGAATGATACGCCACAAACTTCAACATTAGCATTGCTTTAACAGATGCTGAAAAGGTTTCAGTTGCGGCAAAAAATCTCCCTCTCAAGGAAAACTATGTAATTTAAGAAGCTACGTTAAACAAAGCAAATCCTTGAATAGCTTAACTCCTGATTTGCTAAAAGGAAAATGCATTGCGATTGAATGAGGAAATATCTTTACAGCCAGAACTTTGCCATAAGCCTTCAGCACCCACCTACATCCTTTTTGTCAGTCAGTTCTTGCTAGTACTACTATCGGTTTGCATTTTATATCCAGGTCTTGTATTAAAGTGAGAAGTTATGCTTTTTTACTTTTAAAGCAGGGAATTTAGGTAGTATTTAAGGAGTATTTCAGCATCCTGCAAAATCCAGCCATGAATAGGAAAGAGGGACCAGACACTCACCTCCGTCGAGGCTCCTGGAGGCTCGCTTACTTGCCGTCCGCTCGAACTGTGGAGCAGGTCGGTCGATCAAGGCACTCGCCTGCCTCGTCTGCGCCTGCGTCCGGCCGCTGTAGCGGAACTTGGAGCCCAGCGCCAGGAACCTGCTCTTCGGGATGGCCTCGGTGGAAGTCAGCCTGAAAACCACACACACAATTAAAAAATCGTACCTCCAGATCTAGGAAGCGGCAGGTAAAGAGAAATTAAAATACAAGTTAAAGAAGTCTCTGCATATGCTTGATTAACAAAACAACATACACTAACAATAAGCCCCACATCTACATCAGCTAGAAGACCTCTGTCTTATGTATCTTATGAAGCGCAAACTGCCTAGAAATTTATTGCAATATAAACACCTAATGTCTCTGCAACCATTTCACTCCAATTTTTGTGAAACGCCAAGGAACGCTGAAGGAGTGCTCCTCTTCAGCAGCTTATCTAAAGCATTAGTTATTCAAGGCAAGCCTACCGTTTAGAAAACCCACCTGAAAAACGTGTGATGTTCAACACATACTTTCCACAGTTTCTTCGCTGCCCGGTAACTTGGTAGCTTGAACCCAATTGTACTTTCATACTGTTCTTGCTGCGGAAAATAGAAGTTATTTAAGTATAGCAAGAAATAAGTGTGGCAGGAGTCCAGTTCCCAGCCCATCGACCTGTTCTGCTGCGGCACAGACTTGTCTTGGTCTAGCCCAAGAGCAGCTGAACTCACTCCATGATGTGCAGGAGGAGCTCAGGTCCCAGAAAAGACAGGGCTTGCCCACAAGCCCGGGCATCTCTCAGGATGCACCAGGATTTGCAGAGAAGCATGCCGTGGGTTTTGCGGCCATTCAGACTCATCACGCTGCCCAGCTGCAGGACGGGGTTGAAAATTGACCTCCCTGCAAGGCTGGGTCATGGTAGTTGAAGCAGGAGGAAGGAGGAGAGGAGTAAAGAGGCAGAAGCCCATTATAGCCTCTCTCCCCACCGTGTTTCCAGCAGCCAGGCTGTTCCAGGGATCTCCCTGTTCACGAGAGGCAGCATCAGGGCAGCCAGCCCCCTGCCTGCGGCAGTCTAAGTGAAAAGGTATGCTCTGTAATTTTTTTTTTTGTTCCTTTTTTTTTTTTTTTAAAGTGAGACAAAGAGCCTTTGTCTTGCCCTGTTTCCAGAAACAGAGTTAGTCCTCTGCCAGTCTCAACTGTGAACTTCCCACTGCTTTCCTCTGGATGCTGGGAATACCACACAGTGCCAGGAGGTGGTGCTGGATGACACGTTGTTTAAATTGTCACCTGCTGTTTTACAGCTTCAGCAAGGTCAGCGGGCACTACCTGAAGAGCTGAACTTAATACCAAGCCAAGATCAGAAACCCAATAGAGTGCAAAATGCTCATTCAAAGAAAAGCTTGCTCCCTCCCCCCGTGAAGCATACACGTTAGTGATAATCAGAAGGCAATTAAAGAAGGCACGAGCACAAAGAAGTCAGGACGCACCTCCCCTGGCCGAATCTTGATAAAGAAGCTGCTGCGTTTGTAGGAAATTTTCAGGACTTTGGGCCAAGGGAAGCGGTTGATTCTCAGTTTATCTTTGTAAACAAGAAGGCCACTGGAACAGACTCCCAGAGTGATATCCACCCCTTCCAAGTCCTGGGAAAACAGATGAGGATTTAAGCAGTGTCAGAGTTACAAATTTCAGGAGAATGTCTGTCCTCCAAATTACCCCTTTGGTCTTCCCCCAAGGCTCTCCTGAATTCCTCTCCCCACCACCCAGACCTCAGCTTCTAGCTCCCTATGCAGCCAGGGCCAGGCTTGCTTTTCCTTCACGCTTCTCCTTACAACCTCCTCCCTTCTGCAGATCTCTCCTGCGATGCCGTTAGCTCAAAGGGCTGCTCTAGAGTCTACCCTGCATTTCTCTGAGCAGAGTAGCTCACCTTGCAGGGTCAGAGCCTTATTCTAAGTTCCTCAGAGCAAGGGCCTGTCTACATCAGTAGCTTTGTAAAGCTTCCTGTAATATATAAATAATAAGCAATCGGGAAGAATCATTTCTCTTAAAACACTCGCAACGGTGCTTGAGGCATTTCTGTTGTGTGTCTGTGTTTCTGTACCAGTAGCCAGCTTACTTCCTATATCTTTCAAAAGGACCCCCTTGAAACTTGCTCCTGCAAAGGAAGGATAATCAAATTACAAAATCCACAGGCAGGTGCACACACGTTGATTCTCACCTTGGCTTGGTGAAGGTCGACTCCATACATAGACAGCTTTTTTGCATTCTCAAGAAATTCCAGGTCTGCTTGGGCTGGAGTCATGGATCTGAGGAAAGAGAGAAAGGGCTTCGTATTCCCATAACTGTTGCTTTTAGGAGGGGACAGATCAGACTTCACAAAACCATTTACTCGTTAGATTTTCTTTTGCTTTCAACACAATTTGTGCCCAGATGAAAAATTACTAAATTGCTCTGAATGCACAAATTTATGCTTTGAGACATCCTCATAAAAGAGATGCACCTTATTTCTGTGGAGCTGTACAGACCCCAGACAAGAAAGCAAGTTATCCAGCAAGGAAGTGCGGTACAGGGTCCAAAACTTGATTCAGTGCAAGAAACACCAATTCAGCTGAAGGCAGAGGGTGACAGGTACTGTCCTCCCAGACCTCCTGCCTCCAGACCCCCCCCCCCCAAACCCAGCTATTGTTCTCCAAACCAAACGCAAGGACAGCTGAGACCACTCGGCAGCGATTCCTACTGGGGCAGACCAGATGAATGAGACGTTTTCTGGGAACAGATGGTACCCTGTCTGCAGGAGGGGCAACGCCACACAACTTTGCTTAACAGAAACATCCTGATAATGGAGGCTATTATCAACGTTATTGAAGTGCCCTTGTTAATAAGTTTCTGGTGTACGAGGTACATCTAACAGCTCTGCTGGGAGAGTACTCGGCTGTATACATTTCATTTCATTCCCTGCTTTGACGTCTCTCTTACTAAGCGCTCACACACATCTTGTGTGCGATGTAAATAGAGGTTTTAGTGGTGGGAGACGGGGCAGACAAAGACGACTGTAAGGACAATCCTCTAGGAAAGACCCAGGAGCAGTCGCTATCTCCGACACGTGCCTTGTGCTTTGCAGATAAAGTAGCAAGAGATGGAGCATGGTTTAGCAGAGTTTTCCCACTGAAAACCCTCTGACAGTTTAATGTCCACAGAATACGGGCCAGAAATTAAACGGGTGCATATTGCCTCCTCCCTCCTGCACACACAAGTAGATTAAATATAACTACATCCTATACCTTGAAGTATCCTTCTAATGAAGCCATGAATAATTCAGCAACATGATCTGCCACTTCTAGCACAGCTAATGGCCTTTGACTTCAAGTCATGAAGCTTGTCAGCGGCCCCATACTTATTTTCCCTCATTTCCTCTCCTCTCAGTGCAAATGGAGGGGAATCAATTTAAAGTATTGATTTGCGGGGTTGAGTGAGGTGTTAGTTGTAGCTTTGGTCACAGCCCGGGGCACACGTCCACCCTTCCCTACTGCACTCAGGTTATTAGTTCCCATCTGCCTGCGAGAAGGTCTCGTCTTCGCTGTTCTCGTTTTTAGTGCATCAGCCAGCAGCTTTTCACAGGTCAAGGGGCTGCCAGCTGAAGGCTTCAGTATCATGGAGTGGTTTTATGGGCTTTTTTTTTTTCTCTTAAAACCCAAATGTACCTCTGGGAGGGTGCAGAAGCTACCGGCTGGCTGCTCTCCACTGCAGCCCTCTGCGCTGGCGAGCACACAGCTCCGCACAGCTTCTGCAATCCAAGCACTCAAGAGCATCGATGAAAATAAGCTCAAAGTAAAGCGAGGAAGAGGTTCGGTTGCTGTGACCCTTTAATCTGGAGTCTCCAGGGGGACTCCCAGAAGTCCTTCAACCCTGCCTGAACAAGACACATCTGCCCAGGTCATGGCCGCACTGGGAAACACGAGGAGGACAGCCTAACTGCAGGTTTACACCTCCTGCGTCATCTGGAATACTTCCACGTTAGGAAGTGTTATTAAATGTGGCAGCAGAAAACCCCAAACATGCTGTAGGCTATAGCGTATACACAGAGACGAGATCTGCTCCAACCAGACTGCAGTCCAAAAATGACGTAAATCCCAAAGCGAATATTTAAAAAAAAAAAAAAGACAAAGGGCAAGGTTAAAACAAGCAAACTTTGTATTTTCACATGATATAAAACCACTTTCACGGCTACACTGTTGAAAAAGAGCACATATTAATAAACAATTGCAAGGCTTTGCATCTGCTTTCTAAAAACAGTTTCTTCTTCACGCAGGAAAAACGAATTCCAGCTTCTAGAGAGATTTTGTTATAAAGTATTAGATCTTTTTTAAATAGCTGGTGCTCTCAGTAGCTGAAAATTCACACCTTACTGCTAAAGCTTCTGTTGCCAACATTAAAAAATTGGTGCAGCAGGAAATCAAAAGCATACAACAGAGGTGGGGAAAATACCAGAAAGCCCCATTATTGCCATTATTTCAGGCTGCTGTGCACGAACAAGTCCTCCAGCCGCCGCACCTTACCTGTATGTTTTATGAAGCTCCACAACCTTCTCTTCGAGCTCTTTCGTCTGGTTTGGGGCCAATTTAAATTCACTGATGTAATCTGGGCTGTGTAGATCGGGATCGTAGTCTCCCAGCTCGGACTGGACCGTGTACGAACCCAGCAGAGCCAAAGTCGCAAAGGAACAGGGCAGCCGCCCCGTAATGATGTCTTGTCTAAGCTGAAGACACAAGTAATACCTGGGGAGGGGGGGAAATAATCAAAATACTATTTACAGAGAGCATAGAGAAACTTAAGGATCAAACAGAATCTCTGGTTTTATGCCACTGATGAACGCAGCATGGTGCTTGTTTCTAATTTCCACCTGTATTTTTACTTATGGGGCGATATTCCCTCAGTAAACAGCGTGGAGGACAGGAAGACTTACTCCACTCTGCAAAGGGAGTAGAGGACACTTACAATCAGAAAATCTTATTTTTAAATAAAAATGTACTTTTCTACACAAACACACACATGCCAGGATTATAAATGACACTGCTTTACACATATGGACTTCGGTGAAGAGAGGAAGCATCCCACACATCCACTAAAAACAACCGAAAAACCCCTCAAACTGTTATCAGACATCAGATCTCCTTGCTGAAGCATGGAATAACACCCAAATATTAAAAATTTCTATTCAATATTCATTGCTTTGCTGAGCGAGCTCCCTGGCTGGTAGCAAGATTCCCAGGTAATTCACCTGGTTATGTCCTCTGTCAGCTGTGCGGGATCCGGTGGATAAAACTTGACATTGAAGGTAAAATCCCAGGGACCTCCTGCAATTACGAAGAAGAGGTTGAGAAAAATAAACACACCAGAACAGCTTCATGATAGTCAGTCGTTACAAAAAAGCTGGAGATATCCAGTCTGATCTTCAAAATACGGCCAGCGGATCATAATACTGATATTAATACTGCTCGCTCGCCCAGCTAGCTGCTGCCTAGCAGACAGTATAAGATACGATTTCATTTACAAGAGCTAAGATACAAGCAGGAGAAAACAAAGCAGGGCAGGCAAATACACGGGAATAAACCACAACTTGTGGAAAAAATTAAATTCATTGCTAAGAGGCTAAATTACTCACATATTTTTTCACTGATTGGGAAAAAAAAAAAAAGATAGATTCATGAAGAGAGGTCAGCCGTGTGCTATAAGTTAATGAATTAATACTGTTTTATCACTTGACCCAATTTCCAAATTTCTCATAAGGAGCAGATGTGCTAATTCACTCAGCAGCCTAATGCACTGTAGTCGGGCGGTCAGACCACGGTTTAAACTCGGCACAATATGAGCATCAAACTCTGGAAGAAACAGCAAGCACCAAGACAGGAAAAGCTTTACAAGTCCAGACCTAAATGCTTCAATACAGCTTGTTGCAAACCTTGTATGGCACCGTTACAGGCATTAGCTGGAGTGAGAATCCACATAATCACACCTAGAATTGGCATTATATGTGGTATGGACAGTCTAGGTGACACAGCTGAAGGGGTTACTCTCTCTTTTTCTTGAAAATAATCACGTTTACCTGCAGAAAATAGTCCTGACCGACCCATTAAGCACTCAAAGTAATTTTCATAGTTACAGCTCCCCCCTGCTGTGCCTTTTAACACTAGTTCAAAATAATATTTATGTCAGAAAGAGACGATACCCCTGCGCTTAACTTGCTCAGAGATTTATCGCAATCTCAAACAGGGAGGAGGGGGGACGTAGCATTCATGGATTTACTTCTTACGCAACGCCATAACTGGGATTAAACACAAGGCATATTGTTTTCATTATACACAGTTCAAAACAAGTTATTCCAAGAAGACATTTTAGGTAGCAGAGGTTTCCTACGTATTGCAAGGAGGATGCAGAGACTGACTCCCTATGTATGTACACCAATATCTATCGGTGCACACATATTCATATGTACATTCAACATATATTCAAGTAAACTCAAATAATTTGCCATTTAACCCATCTCAGGGGACCAGATTCCACAGCAGGTTGCTCATTACACTTACGAGCTGAATTTTACCTGCAGCTCATGCCCTTTACACACATCCTGCTATCGATTCAGAGAAGTTGACAAGGGCAGGAGCTGTTCCTACTCCGCAGCCCTGCGGCATTTCCCCCCTAATCTGTACTTAATGACACATTTTGTTCTGCGCCCCCCACCAAAAGCATACGTAAAACAGTATTTTACTTTCGTAAAACAGTACTTTCAAAGCAGTCAGACTTGCTCCTGAGAGAAAACAAAAGCCTCAAATTTATTTGACACTGCCCTCATCTTGAACTAATTCAGCGCAAGCAGACCTTAAAATACATTTTTGGAGAGCATCTGGCATTCCTCCCGATACTACTTGAGCCATTTATCATTCCTATTTGGACCCCAAAACAGCCTCAGAGTCCATAAAACCTTGCTACAGCATGCAATTTTGCTCAGGCTCTCCCAGTCTCCTTTGAGATTTAAATGGTTCCCAGACACCTATTTTCCCATCCTCCAGCAGGGAGCAGATCTCCCATTTCAGCGTCGCATGGTAGTAAGGGTAGCGTGGGTTTGGGGTGAACACACCCCAAGTTACGTTCTCCCAAGGAAATTACATTTTTTCCTAAATCTAGAGCATCACTGAGTACTTAAGAAGAGGAGAAAGGATGCGCAGGCTGCTTGAACTTGTGCCAATCCCTGCCAGACACCCTCACCCGAACTCTCACCCATCCTTGGCCCCCCAGATCACCCATCAAAGCCACGCTTGCTTAGGGAAGGGGGGAGAAACCACACACCCCCGCATGATAAATTCAATCTACTTACCATGAACCTGTTTTTTTATTTCTTTGGCAGGATCCAGCCACGTCTGTAAGAGGATAAAAACATTCACAGTGTAACAGACGTTCCAGAAACACCACAGAAAACTGCAAATAACTAAAAATACGGCAAAAAGACAACATTTGACACGAATGCAGCCATGGAAACTGGAGAGACGGTGCATTTTTCACAACTTTTACTCCAGTCTGTGGTCTCGGTGGGTGCATTTCCAACTCTTCACCTACCAGCTACTCATAGGGGAGGCAGGAGGAACAGGAGGAAAAAAAAAAAGAGGCAGCATATTAGGGCTGCAAGCACATAGCAGCAGGTACGGTTGCAGCCACATCCTGCTACGAGGGGCAATTGTACAACACATTTTTTTCCTCCAGCACTTTTAAAAATAGGCAAATAGGATGTTTGCATTCATTTTAGGCACCCTGTCTCCATACTTACCCTATTCAGAACAAAGATTGCCAAGACTTTCTATTATTAGCTATGGTTTTTAACAACCTTATCACTGAAATACGAGTGAAAACATCCAATCGCTGTGAAAGGCTGGAATATTTTACAGGAGCGTGACATAAACTTCGTCTCTTTTAAGTATGACTCAAGTTTCTAGCAATTATCTCAGCTACAAATTTAGAAATATATCCTTTTTCCTCCCCCCTCTGTAATTTGGGGTTTTGTGGGATCGTGGTGCAACATAAGCCTCAAAAAACAACTCCTGCTTTTGCCAGCATGGTCTGAGCAACTCCCGGCACGTCAAGCCTGAGCCTTTGCCTTTGCAGAGGTCAGGGTCTGCCCCACTGAAGGTGACGGCGCAGTGCTAACAGCCCTCCTGGAGAGGCTACATTAAACCACCTTCTTCATTTTCACGAGCCCTGAGCAGGATTTGGATGTCCAGATCTCCCAAGGTGAAGGAATTAATTCATTGAATCCCCCAAGCTAATCTGTCTTGACCAGAAGGACACGTAACTTCATGGCAGGGAGACAGCGATACTTACATTTAATCTTATCTTTTTATATGCTTGTCCCTCTAACCTATAAAACTGGGGATACAAAATCCATTTGAAAGGTAAACGTGCCACTTGCTGTCTTTTTAGGGCCACCGTTTTAAGCAAAGCATCTCTACGTCCACACTGGTGCCACGACTGCTCGTTACTGCAGTGATAAGGGCTGGGTTTCGGGCAGCCGAGCCCGGGGTGCAGTCATGCATCCCCGGCACTCACCCTGCCTGATCCAGCAGACAATGACGGGTACAGCAATTAACGGCACTTTTATCCACACTGTGTCATGAATCAGTGGGAAACAATCCTCCCTTTCAGAGCAGCATGAGCACCAAGCTCCTTCGGTGCTGACCAGCTGCTCTATCCACTGTCACAATCTCCTATTCCCACTGTCACCCTCTGCTATCCCCATGCGGGAAAATGCCCGTCTCCAGGAACGTTTATTCCCTAAATACCAAGGTGGAAAATCCCACATACAACCCTTCCCTGTCCTGGAATACACACGTGCATCCCCGTCTGCCCCACACAGCTGCGGGTGAGGCGCAGAAGCTCATCTGTTGGATTCCTATTAAGATGATTTCTACCCGTGAATCAGTAACTCAGTGTCAGGTCTTGTTTGAAGTTACAGCAAGAAAGATGGAGCTTCAGATTTCGAAGTTCAATGAAACGTAACCAGAAAAGATTCCCAAGAAAACGGGGTTTTCCCCCCATCAGAGCAAACCAGACTTCCACCGAGCAGCTTACTCTGCACTGGAGCTAAAACTCACGCACAGCGGCTTTACCTTCCTCAGCTCCCAGCTGTGGGACACAAATCTGACAAAACTGTCTGTTTTCAGTCCCTACAGTTGAAAAGCTCACAGCCCCTTAGCCCTTGTTGGCTGGGGGGAAGGAGGTGAACGCTTTTGCCTTCGGAAGAATCGACGCCAGCATGCCCGGATGCAAGAAGAGCAAGTCCCGGGGGTCTTGGAGATGCAGCAGTGAGCTACCCACAGCACAAGTGTGAGAAGTTGAGCTGCTCCAGCTAAACTCTTTTTGCTCTTAATTGGATCAAAAAGTACACCCATCCCTCCCTCTGCAAGCACAACAAACTCCTAGAGTAGAAAGTCCAGGCTATATACATGGAAGCAAATTTCACATACAAGAAAATAGCAAGATACCAAAGACAGTAAAACAAACCCAAGACAGAGCTCTGCCTGCCTCAAATAGCGATGGGGTGTTGTTTTGCCTGTGTATTAAAAATTCACACTTGCAATTATTAAGTATTTAATGACAAATGTCTGTCAGCCACGGTAACCTGGCCTGTAAGTGACTGCTGTAGGTGAAGCACGAGACTAGTCAGAATGTGGACCAGCGTAACTGGTCTAAAGGACATAAAAGTGGGCCCCTGATTTCAATTTAGCACACTTTTGGCTAGCTTCATGAAACAGAGCTTGAGTAATTGCTTGAGTAATTGCTTGAGTTAAAGCGTAACCAAGGATTTAAAAGATAAGACGCTGCTTGAGCCTAACCAAACAAAGACCTTAAACTGAAACCGTATGAGTAAGAGTTTTGGGATGAAGAGCCACGTGTGTTTTTTCGCAAGGCAAAGCTTCGACTCAAAACGGCTCTGGATGGCTCCGACCAAACATTACAAAAAAATGACACCAGTGCCAGGGCAGCCAGCTTTTACTCCTGCCGACTGCTCAGCCTTACACCTTTGGTGAGCGCAGGCTCCAGGACTGTGAAGTTCCCCTGCAGTGTGTCGACATTCAGACTCATCTTCTATAGCCTAAGAGTGGTTAACCTATTCTTAAAATCACAATAAAAAAAAACAAACCCTGCTGCTTTTCTACAGTGAGAAAAGCCTCATCTTCCCCTAACTTCTTGAGCTATAGTTTTACAAATTAATGGCATCATTTTGCAGTAAACTAATATAATGAATTTTCTCCAGGTGAAGATACAAGTTCATGTAGCTTTTTAACTAAAATCCACACTCCTGTAGTCATTTATTCACAATTTCTGCCTCTGTGATGACCCTCTTAGTCCTTTTTTGGGGAGGACACCAAAAGGAGTTTTAAGAAGAGCTTATGCACCACCTCCTCCCCAGGGGAGATTATCCTTTTGAAAGAGCTGAACCCACCCCGGTGCAGAACACCCACGCAACAGCAGCTGCTTACCCTGGAGGTCGGCGTGTCCCATATGGCCAAACCAAAGTAGTCTTCTTCCAGGAGATTGAGGTGGTCACAGACTTTTTTAAGTAGATCCTGCCCCTTGGCGTGTTTCTGCAAATAGACAAAAGAAATTCTGTAGGACGGGCTGGTTTTTGCCTGCCCTCGTTCACGGGAGAGGGGAGAAAGGGAATGTAATCAAACCACACTGTATGTTATCAAGAAGGGAAAGAAGTCCTGAGTAGCTCCAAATCAGATCTCCCGGCCTTTTCTGAGCAAGCACCCCTTATAGGAAAGAGCATCAGGCATAGAAATTCAAACCGGAGAGGCAATGGGAACTGCAGTGGGTCTCTCTGCTACCACTAGCTCCGTGTCTGAAGCCCCCCTAAAGCTGAGCTTCTCAACACAACTCAGTAAACACCAAGGATCGGTAGCGATTCTCCCTCCCAAAGTACATCTGCTGCACTGGTATCTCCCAGCTCCAGGCTGTCAATCAGGCACTGATCAGAAGATGATCAACGCGGGGTATGAAACTGCTGCTGCAACCCACTGCTATAGTCCCCCATTTTGGGGGCAAGCTGGCTCAGGAGGGTCACAAAAGAAACAGCGTCTGAGAAGCAAAGACCAGCATTTCGTGACCTTTTCATCAACCCGATCTGCTGATGAAACCCAGCTTCTCCAGTTTTGCCTTATGCACGGAAAGCTGCTTAGCACACAACTTCTTGCCTCCAGAAACACACTTTGAGCATTCCTATCTCCTCTTTTTTTTTTTTTTTTTCCCCAAATCCTGCAGGAGAGAACTGGCCCTAGGAACAGATACCCTTTTAGTCCGAAAGCATGAAGGAAAACATCCCTGAGGCACAAAACTATGGTAACCAGAAGCAGCTAATTCTATTGGAGGCTTTGCTAAAAAGAAAGTGCAGTTCCAGTGACGCAAAATAAGCTTTACTAATGCATATTGCTTGGGCCCGCATCTCTCCTTTCAGTCATATTTGCATGGCAACTGATTGAAGACCATAGGTTTGTTTTATTCCAGTCCTTCAGCTGTAAGGTCCTTAGTGCATACGTTGCAACTCTATAGGTAACACAGTGCATGTGTTAGCCTGGATATTTCTCAAGGAATTGGCACTGAAAGACATTCAGGAATTAAAAACCTCCCATGGCTGTCAATTGGAAAGGATGCCTGAAAGCACTTATTCTTCTTGGAGAAAGGCCTTTGTGCTGGTCTTTGCCTACACCTTTGCAATTCCTTCCCAATTAAGTCTTAATAAGTTCTCAAAATGCTAGAGTAGGATTATACTGGCGTTAAAGCCAAGGGTACTTGTCAAGTCAAGAGGGTCTCACCGACACAGCAGCCCCTCCTAATCCTCTCCGCAGTGCCCATCACCACTCTCCGGACGTACAGAAAGAGACTTCTACCACCCTGCTCGAGTCAGGACCAACCACACCACCACCAGCCCTCCCACCAACAGCGTCCGTGCAGCCTGCTGGTATTTGAAGGCATCGCTGCAGCAAACTCATGCACAAAGCCACAGCAAGCTGACACCGGCGGAGACGCTGCCACCAACGTTTCGGGGAACAGTTTCTTTTCGGGGGCTGCACACAAAATCCCTGGCAAAGGCTGGCTGCAGGTGGGGAAGACCATCGGGGCGGTGATGCTCCGAGCTGATCCCGGGCAATAACAGCAGCGACGCCGTTACACAAACGGCCGGCGCTGACCTACTTGCCCAGGATCACCCAAGGTAACCGCTTTCACAAGGCGCCCTGTGCCCAGATACCCTCTCCTGGCCCATTTAGCCAGCGGGACTGGGGAAAAACAAGCTGATGGAAGTATGCTCGAATGGTTAAGTACCAGATTATTAATATTCTGGACAAGTGCTTCAATACTGAAATGGGGATTTCTGCGAGCTTTTTATTGCCCTGACAGCAAGACGGCCCTGTGAGAGAATGCACAAAATAAAGCAGAAGAAGAGCTCTCAGATGAAGGGGTTTGCAGTGCTGTAAGTCAACATAATAATTTTAAATTGTTTACTGCAAATATATTCAACTGCAGGCTAAACACAGCATGTTTTTCTTTACATCCAAGCTCCAGGAGTTATGTTAGCCAGCACCCTGATAAGTGAAGGTACCTTGGGTGAACAGAAAAGCACAAATCAACTTGACAACCCATTTTATTCAAAGGAAAGGGGCAGAAGATATTTAGGCATGCCAACCTAACACAAAAACCTAAACTCTAGTCTGGGATACAAATGAGAGAGAAGATGAACAGCAAGTAAGATAACTTTTTTTTCTTTAAGCTTCTCCCCACCTTTAGAAAGCAAGGCACCCTGGAAATTGTAGAACAATAAAAAGAGAGATTCCTAGGCACCCAGAGATTTTTACAACACACTAAATAAGCTGTTATAGCTTACAGCAAGATTGTTCTGCAGTAAAGCCTGTCATGTAATTCACTGGCAGCAAATTAGAGCCCTGCTAAATGGTGTTTGTGGTGATTTTTCAAGGGGAGGAGAAGGGAGAGGGCAAAGAGAAGCAGAAGCAAACCCCACAAGTACTTACATCCACAGCACACTCAAAAATGGTGTCATCCAGCAAGACGACTTTGCAGTACATGTTTCTGTGTCTTTTTACTGTTCTCTGGGCAGCTTTCAAATCCTTCTCCGCTTTGGTCTCCGGAGTCTCTTGTTTCGGCTCTGGCTTGGCGCACTCTTCCTTCGCTTCCCCCCCTTCCTTGCCCCCAAGGTCTCTGCTGTCCGGCTCGTCGTCGTCCCTCCTCTCCTCCTGCGCAGGCTGAAACCCCCACATCACCCAAGTTGCAATTTAGACGTGTCAAGCAAAAAAAACCATCACATGAAACAAGCATCGCATAGGTGCACTGCAGGGCTGGGATCTCACCCCAGAATTAGTTATCTGACTTAAATGTGTAACCCAGGACCTGGAGCAGCAGCTTGGATGAGCAAGGTAATGATACTGATTTTTAAAGACCTTCAAGTCATTCTCAAGTCCTCATTTAATAAAGTATGTAATAAAAAAGAAAAAAGGGTTGATTAGAGAAATCAGGGCAGATTACATCATGCAAATCTTCACGGTCTTAACAGCAGCACCTTTTGGACCAGTAAGTTTTTCTCCTCCTAGGCAAGACACCCAGCGCACCCACTGCACGTGCCCCCACACTCCCACTGCCGCCCTGGGCTTTGCTCCAGTGCACTGGAGCACTCGGTAATGCAGCAGTGGCATTAAAAGCGGGGGTCAGTGCTGAGATTTCACGGCCGTCTGAGCTGACCGAGCAGCTCTCTGCCACCAAAAAGGGAAGGCAGCCTTCATACCACTCTGCCTTTGCCTACTGAAGCACTTTGCAAGCCAGTTTAACTCACTAAAATAGCAGAAAGAGATGCAGTTTGGGGACAGGAGGAGGAAGGAAGTTGGGGTTTTTTTTCCACTGCCATTTCAGCAGGTTAAACGAGTTCACGGCAGGCTCTGACAAGTGCTGGAAGTGGCTCAATGCAGCAGGAGCACGCAGCCACGGCAGAGGAAGAGCAAAACCCTGCCTTTTCAGCCCATCACATCTCATGAAATCACACCCAGGCACAACTGCACGGAGGTATTTAAAAACTAAATAATGTCCACAAGCTGCTGACTTCTGTTCCACCAGGGCCAGGACAATCGGAGGCAGGGAATCAGTCAAAGCTCGTAATGCCCGTTGGTCAGCATTTATCAAACAGGCAGCACTTCGCAAATGCTTTCACAGCAGAAATATCTGCCGAGTGTCACAGTTCAAAAAGCCACTGACGTTGATCTAAATTAAGAACTAAAAAAAAAAAAAAAGGCACAAATGCTTCGTCTGAAACGAACAGCCCATGGTGAAGGAAGGCTGTGGGTGCACACTCACATGTGCTCAGAAGCAGCAAATCAGAGTTAAACAGAGAAAGAAATCATGCATTTCCTCTTGAAGACACAATTTCTGGGCTGAAACTGCCTGAAAATTTCCAGCTCCTCCCCATTCTGCTAATCCCAACCCTCAGAGGTACAAAACACGAGCAGAGATCATCCCATGGTTTTCACAGGCTCAGAAATTTGGGAAAAGAAAGAAAAAGGTGTTACCTACTACCTTCTCTACAACTTTGTAAGTTTAAGGAGGTGGATTTACAATTACTGCCTATGGTTGGCAATGCTCTAACTTGTAAAGTACTGCTCCAAAAGTCAGAGTTTGCAGATATGTAACACCTCTCTGGAGCCCATCCAAAACTTCAGGCAGGGGGCAAGTAATCCAGATTTTACCACGAATGTGCTATGACTCCAGCAATACACACAGGTTGGTTGGGTTGTAAGAAATCCCCATCTCCAGAGAAGGGGCACCCGCCTTTCTCTAACTCCAGGCAGCCACACTAGTAACGGCAGAGCTGCAATCACCCAAGGAGTAAGAGAGGGCATCCAATGCCCTCTAATCAATAACCCCCTGCAGCTTTGTGAATGTCTCCCTCTGGGTGTGTCTGCCTCGGTTTCTACCATGCTTTAAAAACTTTAAATTTTGCATGAAAAATGACCCTGGCTGTAAAGAGTAGACATCAGACGGCTACTAGGAGCTGGGTTCAGCCCACGTGCTGTGCAGAAATCCCTGTCTACATGATGCATAAGCAGAAAATATTTGTATTTGGCAGGCTCAGCACCAGCCCGGACTGAACAGATGACCAAGTCCTGAAATGCCACGTTTGTGCTCCTTGAAGTTGAAGAAACCCTCTCCCAAATCCACGTCCTCTTGCAATCCCCACCTCACGCCACTGACCTGCCTTTATTCTGCACACACCAAGGACATCCCGACGAGCAACCGCTCCGTCGTGAATTATGAATTTGAACCCTAGTTCTGATGTGACTTCCCACGCCTCAGCAGAGTAAAGAGTCAGCACGGGGCGTTTTAATTTATACTGTGAAGTGTGAGCACAATTTCAGGAGCAGGTACTTTGCAGGACAGTCTGATACAGGAATGCAAGAGTGGGAAGTAAGAGATGCAACACGGGGAGCTGACAAAAGCCTTTTTAGCATCTCATGAGTTTTTCTGACCAAGCTTACCATCCTAGGATATGAAGTTTTTATAGTTTTGGCTGAAAAGACATGTTTTCAAGAACAGAAGGGAGCATGCCACGTGGAGCAGGGTGTTTTACCTGTGTTTCTGCACTGCTTAGGGAATGGAGATCTAGTGATGGATCGGTTTTGAGCTCAGGCTCAGGAGCTGCAATTGGGGCTTTCACCAGGATGTCTTCATCAGGGCTGGCTCCTAATCCCAGGTCTTTCTGGTCCCCTCCCGCCTCTTTAGGAGCATCAGTGTCTTTGTCCTCTTCAGACACCTGAGACTTGGGCCTCCTGAGAAAGGATGAGAAGAGGCGGGAGAGACCCCGGCCCTCGGAGGTGCGGCGCTCCTTCTTGCTCTGCTCCTCGTGCGTGGGCGTATCGCCGTTGGAGGCCTTCTGCTTCTGCCCTGCTGCAGGCTGTCCCTCCGACGTCTGCTGAGCCCCTTCTTCTAGGGAAGCCTCTTGTTTTTGTGTTTCAGCAGCTCCTTCCTCCTCCTTGGCTTGCTGCTGCTCTGAATTGTCAGCGTCCGCCGCTAGACTCTTCTCTGTTGTCATGATGATGCTGTAAGAGAGGTGCGAAAGGTCTCAGTCAAGAGCTTTCCAATATTTAAGTTTGCATTAAGCTATTCAAACCAAGCCACAAGCACAGACACGCCACGTTCCCCAGTCACAGCACCATGTCCTGCCAACTCCGGCCTACAAAGTCACTAAGAGCAAACAAATCATTCATTTTGCTAAGGTTTGCTTTGATAGAAACATCTCTATCGACATTTGCCCATGCATCTTCCACCATTTGGATGACGCCGACTCCAAACCGCTGAATGCCCTGGCACCAGGTCTGCAGCCTGACAAGAGCAAATGACTGAAAAACGGAAACAAGATTAGGGAAAGGGGAGGAGATGGCAGGAGGTCTTGCCCCACAGGGCTGTCCTGAGGTCCTCTCTTCCTCCAAGTCCCTGTTCCCCTCTGGCAGTACTGGCTGTGGGAGCGGAGCAGATGAGAATCATAGAATCATTTAGGTTGGAAAAGACCTCTAAAAGATCATCGAGTCCAACCATATGAGAACACACACATGAGCAGGCAACCTTCCTCCTACCACGCCATGCCAAAATCCCAGACGGCCTGCGATGGCTTGCTGTGTTAGAGCATCCTTCTCCACAACCGCAACTGGAGGGAGAAATCTGCTACTTGAGAGTCAAAAATTGCACGGCCGAAACAAATTTTAACAGCTCCTCACTTCTAAATGTCCCTGAAAGAGGCCACAGATCCTCACCATGAACTAAAAAAGGGGATATTTAAACATGATGAACCACACTGATGCTCTGCTCCAGATGGGACTCATCAGTGTTGATCAACTACATTGATCTGCACAAGAAAGGTCCAGTGAAACAGAGCAGGCTTCAGGATTCACAAGATCTTTGCATTGCACATTGGAAAAATGTAAGAGGAAACGGCTTCCAAACAACGCCCATAACAGAGAGCAGATTTCTTCAGAGCCTGTGCTATCAAGCTGATGCAGCGTTTATTTCAACTTTAGCCTGGGCTGTTGACACAAAAAGGTGGAAATCACATGAGAAGAATATCTATTTAAGGTATAAAGAGGACCCAAAATAATCATGCTGTAGAGAGGATAGAACTAATCTTTGCACGTTGCATCACATGTATCTGCAGCAATAAATTGCCACTGCTTGCACAGAGCAAATAGCATATAATCCAATACGCCTTTCAATCCCACCAGCCCAAGCCTCGGCATACAAACATTTGCTCAAAACACATACTTAAAATTAAGAAACACTTCAAGATGTCACCCTCCTACATATTATTGCATTCAACAATTTTAATTTAACTCATCCTGATTGCCAAAATAACCAGAGTGCTTGAAAGAGAAAAGCCCTCCTAGCTTTCCAAAGTACTCTTCCCCTGCATTTAATGCAAAAGCTTACTATTATTCTTAAAGCTGAGGTTAAAACAAAGCAGCATTAGAGAACTTCACTGAATTTGTTTCCCCAGCGATGCAAATTTCCTGGGCTTACAAGGTTTGTTTTGTTTTCAGTTTTAGTTTTTTGGGTTTTTTTTGCAGGGAGGTCTTTTGTAAAAGCAGGGATGGTGACCCGCAAGGTCTGTGCTCCCATCGGAGTGATCTGGAGCTGCATCAGATTTGGGACAGGCTCTCTGAACTCTGTGAAACCTCTTCACTTGGACTTAGCCCCACCAGCCAACTTTGGGGATGAGCTGCAGGGCCCATTTTAGCCTGGTCTCCTGCAGAAGCCAGGTTTAAAGCCTCATGCCCTACACACCATCTCCCCTCAGTGAGCTGCTCTGGGTTTCTCCAAACCCAACGGAGAGGTGGAGGCCACTGAAACAGCAGCTTTCTACCTGCACTGAGAAAACGGGCATTCGAGAGCAGACAGCCTGCACGGGCATCCGCGGGCACCTGATGCACCAGGGACATCGCAAGGCAAAGATGGTGCCAAAACCCAGATGCGTCAAGGCTCCGAGCTAGATGGAGACGCAGATGCGCAGAAAACCACACTGCATCGGTTCTCCTCCTCCGGTGCTTTGCACAGGAGAAGACCAGACAGCTTGGCATAGCCCAACCAAGGCAGCGAGAGCACGCAAGGGTAATTCTCCAAAACGCTGTTGAGTTGGGCATTATGCCACCTCGTTTCCCCAGCAGTCTCGCAGGAGTTTGTTTTTGCAAGATTATCACGGAACAGGCTCTGTGAGAAAGCTGTAAAATCCAAGTTAAATGAAAGGCTACGACGGATTCACACAGCATCCCGCTGGCTCCCACCACCACCCTTGAGGAGGGGACAGCTTCGCGCCTGCCACTCACTTCGGAGAGAAAGGAAAAAACAATCTGCAACGCTGAATTTCCTTCTCCCCTAAACCAGAAACATCCGCAGTTCGGTTCAGGAGAGGTTTTGAAGGGGCTGCGCACTCATGGGGGGGCACAGGGCTGCGATCAGTTTGCGGACGCAGCAGCCGGTGACTTGCTCCTGCAGCTCTTGCTGTTGTTTCTGTTCCTCCCATGATCCCTTGCTAGCGCGCGTGGATGCTGCTGGCCCCGTTAGCAACACACGACTCCGTCTGCAGAGTCACCCCAGCCACCACGCAGCCAATTCACGTTATCAACAGCTCTCCAAAAACTCCTAGAGATGCTACAAGGTGGTGCAGCGGGCAACAAGCTACATTCAGCCAAATGCACATCACCCCAAGCCCACGATGCAGGACATGCATGGCCTGGCAGGCCTGGCATGGCAGGATGCCATGGCCAACTCCCAGGGCAAAGCTCCTGATGCCCCGGCTTGCACAGGGATAGATGCGTTGCAAGACTGTCCCACCACGAACCCATGAAAATAGCGAGCTCCCTTTTGCACCAGCTGCCAGAGCAGTCTGCTTTGTAGTTGCTTCCTACTGTGTTTGTTTTGAATAAATACATTTGTAAGAATCATTATCTAAACACACACTGGAAGCGCATTGCTCTTGAAAATAAAAAAGAATTGAGGCTCTTGAAATGACGACTGCAGGGAGGGCACAGCTGAAGAGCAGCTCTTATCAGCCACAGTAAACAAGAGGGACAGTCGACAAACAAACATTTCCTCTGGAAGTAGTTTTCTCTCTTTAAATACCAACCTTTCTGGAACAAGAAATGTTTACTTGTTTGGATTTCAAAGCCGCAGTCGCAGACCTTTCCTGGTGCGGGAAGGTGGGTCTCGCTGGCAATGAGCAAACATCTCCGCGTCTTTCCTCCATCCCCCAGGAACCACCTCACAGCTCGGCCAGAACCCCTCAGCAGGGCTGGGGATGCGGAGATGGGCACGTGGGAGCCCTTCCCTTCCCGCCCCTTCCCAATAAACATTTCATAGCGGCCGCCAGCACCAGTAACTCACTGGGTGCGGGCAAACATCTTGCTGCAAGACCCAAGCGCGCTCGGCCGCTGCGTGGGCTCACAGCTGGTTCCCTCCCTTTGAAGTTTTATGTTCAGAAATGGTTTCCCCAGACCAAAAACAAAGAGATCTGTAAACAAAGAAAAAAAACCAGAGGCCGTATTATTTAAAAAAAAAAAAAAAAAAGCACCTTTGCCGCACAGAGATGTTTGCTAAGCAGCATTTTGTTTCCAACCTAGCCCACAGCACAGCTGACATGAAGAGCGAGGTTCCCGCTCTGCTGCTCTTCAACTCATTATTTGGAGAAAGCACTGCCCGCAGCCAAACCACAAGCAGGTTGGTTTGGTTTTTTGTTTGTTTGGTTTTTTTAAACTAAATTTTCTCCCATCGCTATTCCGCAAGGCAACTCTGCAGAGCCTGCAGGTGCTTCAGGAGCTCCCTGGATGCCGGCAGAGGATGCTCTGCTCTTGTAGAAGCACCCAAGCAGTGCTGCTCACCTCCTGCTCTGAGCTGCCACACTTGTAAATGCTGGATTTGGGGATTTTTTTGGTAGAGGATGAGGGTTTGGTGCCAGACAGCCTGTAAAAGGCAGACTCTTCACAAGTCTAGTGCAGAGAAGGCGTTTAACGCTACGGAAATAAGCAAATCACAGCAAAACTTAGATATGATCCCACATAGAGATTTCAGAGTAAAAATCTCATCAGAAAAGAGTTCAAGTATGTATTTATATTTAAGCATTTTTAAGTTTAAGAACATCCTACTCCAGACTTTAGCACCAGGAAGCAATCTGAAGAAAAGGTAATTAAACACACCCAGAGCAGCCTCTGGGGAGAAGAGGCTTCTCCCACTCGAGACCTGCACCGCAGGTTGACCTTCCCACCAACAGCACCCCCCTTCACCTGCACCAGATCAGCCCCCAGAAGAGGACCTGGACCTCCAAGTATCCCACAGCACTACCGGGAACATCAGTGCTTCGATGATGAAGAGGGAGCCCCGCACAACTCTTCTGAAAAGGTATCAGCATCTCTGAACACCAAACGTCAAAGCGAACGGCTACAGGGGCACCTTATGAACCTGTTGTGCCCTGCACAGCAGACCCTCCAGCCACCCGAATATCCCAAGCCCCCCCCCCAGCCTCAGGGCTCACCCCCGTTTCTATCCAAGGACATGGCTGTAGGCAACACACAGCATCTCTGCAGGCTTGTCGTCACCTATACACTCACTCTGCTTTTCTGCATCAAGATCCTTTAAACAAAAGAGACTTAAGGCTTAAAAGGAGTACAATGGCTCATTGCTCATCCTGTTCCTAACATCCAGGGTTTGATCCAACGCTAATTAGTATTCGGTGAGCAGAAGACAGCAAAACTCGGTTTCAACCCCACACCGTTCCACGGGCTCTGCTCTTGCAGGCGTCGAAAGACAACCACCCTCCAGTCAAACCATTCCCCTTTTCCCGCCCGCACACACGCACAACAATTTATCTAAAATGTGGATTTTAGAGTAGCTCAACAGATCCCAGTAGATCCCTGTTGAGAAAGCCTTCAAGCCTGGAGGATGCAGAATTACCCACTCACTGCGCCTGTGCTCCCGGAAGGTTGTCATTAAGTGATGATGAGTTAGTTCTCTGGAAATAAGGATGCTGCTCGTTTGGGTTGTTTCGTGACAAGTTACA